AACATCAATCGCAGCTTGGTGATATAAAAATATTTACATTATAATAGTGTTTATACAAGTACCCTGTAAACTGCAAATTTTAGGCTACGGTTACATACAGGTGAAGTAGCCAGAGTCACAGCAGAATAAAAAAAGTCTCTTCACCTCCAGTTTAATCAAAATACATGTTCACGATCTGACTTCCGTTACCGAGAGGAAAAGTAGTATTGAGTAGTGTTGAGGTGTAATCCACTACAAGGGAGAATCAAAAAATTAATCACTAGAGGGCAGCATGTGTTTGTAAAGTACTATATCATAGCATATGTATATTTAATACGACACCAAGAAATGGCTTGAAATTGAATTAAATTATAACATACTGAATAAAAGATTACACACCCGTTAGTTGTGTAAGTGATTGATGCAAAAATTAAATCTGACGGGGTTTTTTACTATGCCAATGATGATAGCATATACGTGCATAGTAACACAGCAATGCAGAGCCGTTATACGCACCGTTTGTTTGAATGATTAGAAAGTATAAAAAAAATTGTCTTAGTTTTTATTTCATTTTTACCAAATTAATTTCTCAGTCACTGTCCATTACTTCTAAGCCCCACGATATGATTAATTCAATAGTGAAGTATTTAACCGATTCAAAAGTTGGAAGGTTGGCGCGCGAAGCGACGTGCGCAGGGGAAAGAGCCCCACCGATGTACACACACACACACACACATATATATACATATACACACTATAAATCATACGTACATTATAAAATAAGGAAGTGCACGGCAGACATGCGAGAGAGAGAGAGAGAGAGAGAGACGGAGTGGAAGGGAGCTGTGTGTAAGAGAGGAGATTGAGGAAAGGGCTTGGGCCGCAGGGTGGGTGGCTACATTTTTTCGTAACGCATTTCCCTTCATGCGGCTGTTCACGGCTCAACAAAAGAAGTTTTACTTTAAAAAAAAATATTTCAAAACGGTTGAAGTATAGGAATACGGCAAACGTTGTCAAGGAAAGCCTTAGAACTACTCTAGAACATCTTAAATCAGCTGTTATTATAACGGAAAAACTAAGTATTAAAAATGAGTACTACAGTATACAGTGGAAGGAGGGTTTCGCATCACTGCAATACAGGGAACAGAGAAGAGATGATTTCCGTTGGCAGGTGTAGAAAAGAATTCTAAACAGTGCTCTTAAGAAAATAGCACGGGCGGACCGAAATAGCAATCCCTCAGAAAGCCCAGAAAAATGGCAAAGAGCGGTGACTTTAAAAAAGAAGAGAACTAGCGATGGCGAGAGGGAAAAGGTCTCTCCTAATCATAGGAGTGCCCAAACAAAAGGCCGTGACACGATGGCAAAAGTCCTGGTGAATGTCGAAAAAGGACAAACCTTTGCCGGGAATTGTCTAATATACCATACTTTCAAGTTTCAAGTAGTTTTTTTATTACTTGCATAAACAAAGCAACGTCCTTAAGTACTGTTTATGAGTTTTTTTGTAGGTAACAACATTACCGATACCTTAAATAAAATGGACAAGCATAGTAGAATACTATCCTAATAAGTAATTTTTAAAGAAATTTTAATTATTTCAATGTTTAAATTTGTAAAAAGTATTTTAACATGGGTTGAAACTTGGCACAATTACTCTTTGAATAGTTTTTTATCAGTCCTAAAAGTTTTGTTGAGATGTATTATTTACGTGTTAGTTTTTAATACTGATTCGGCAGCCATTCTATAAGAGCGTTCCCATGTTCAACACGATTTTTCATTGTCTTATTTCTCAATATATGATATTATAACACGTGCCAAAAAAAATATGAAAGGATTTAGAATAGTATAAATATNAAGTTCATTGAACTTAAATAAAATTTGTTGAATAAATAGGAAAATAAAAAGCTTGGCTTAATTCGTCATAGCTTCCAAGTTGGCTTTTCTTGTTAAAAATATATGTTATAAATAAATGACGAATGATTATACAAAAAAAATTACTTATGTTATGTCGATACCGAAGTACCGAAAGTTGGCCTACGGTGGCAGCGAGAGGGTGCGAATTTTAAGTCCAAGGTTGGCTGCTGAAATAGTGGAGACCTAACCAAAAATAAAGCTTCTTTTGATGGTATACATACATACATAAGAGTAGACGAGCATGCATATACTACTGCAACTGAGACGAATAATTTGAGTCAACAGCGAAAAAAAAATAATAACAAAATACCGAATACATAAACACTTTTTGATTAAAAAAAAAGTAAATCTTTTTTTTTACTTTTAGGTGATAAAAAAAATACATGTTTTGATAAAGCTGCAAATACTGACTGTAAATGTTTTATAATTTTTTTTTTTTTATGAAAGTATCATTCCTTATTTAAGGATTTCGTAAGTTCAACAATCTCCTTATTAATTCTAGCTACCCTCCCTTCTTTCCCGTCTTTAGACTTTTTAAAAACTATTTTAAGAGCAGTCAGAAATAGTGTTTCGTCACACTTCAAGCCCGAGGCTGTTGCATATAAGTTTACAAAAGCATCCAAAAAATATGTACACGTAAAGATTTTTAAATACTAATAAGATAAAAACTATAAGCTATTTCAATNAATTATGCAATTTATGGTTCTCTATAAGACCAGCTAGGTTGTACCATCCGTATGATTTTTAACATATCTCTGTCTGCAAAAACAAAATTCTTAGCCTCTTTATATGACTTACTTTGTGGCCGATTTTAGCTTAAAGGAAAAATCTTTTGATATGAATTTTGATTCTTAATTTAAAATAAATAACAAGTTAATACATCATCTTATAAACTAGCCTTTAAATTTTTAAATAGACTCAAAGAATCTTGGGACTCGCGGTCACCTGTGGAGGGGTAGGTATATCAAATAAGTATAATTAATTCTTTCTTTCGTGCAATTATTCACTTTTATTTTATAAGGAAATTGTATTTCAATCACTATATAATTCACTATTATTAATCAAACAATAAGCTCAATTTTAAATTAACAATCTAGATTCTTTTATTTTAAATCAACGTTTTGTATGATTATTTATAATTTAATATTAAAATTAACACGTGCTTATAACTAATTTCTACTAATCTCATAACTAATAATAAGAATACAGGTTTTGGTCACGTGACAATTATTCTCATAATACGGATAATACATATACGTATAATAGATCAGAGAATAAAATAAAAATTAATTTATAGCTAGAATGTGTAGCATGTAGCTTTGCCTTTAAGATATGACTCATTATTTTTAGAATTATTACGTGTGTTTGAATGAATCCGTGTAACATATATTTTTGCACCTCAATAATTGTTTTCTATACGTGGAATTATTTTTGGCCTATCTGACTTCCCTTTCGAGATGTGACTTTTTTTCGAATTTTGAGGGATTACGTTGTGACAAAAATTTTTCGACGATTTTTATATCAATTTTTCGTACACGGTATACAAAAGAAAATTTTTTTTCATCATACTACGCCAAACGTAGAAACTTCCATCTCGCTTTGCGGGACGAAAATCCTTTCTCTCAGCGCAGGATTGACGAAAAATAGAATATGCACCACGGTCGGAGGTTAAACAATGCATTAGATTTCATATTAACCACCCTCGGCTTCCCCTCGGGCGTTTATTTACGTGAAATCTAAAACATTCTTAACCTTGCTCACTAGGTGCGTAATATACTATTTTACTCGTTCTTTTCAAGATAAAGTCGAAAAAAAAAACTTGGGTGATGTTTGTGCATAGTCTAACCCCTCTATATTTGTCCCCTCAATTATGAAGTTCCTCCTTGCAAAACCCGTAAAAATTGTTATTTTAAGAAAGTTTGCTTTCCTTTTGAGACACAACGTTTTTTCTTGTTTTAAAAGGCAAGGTTGTCGTATTATTCATACTTGTTAGAATATAAGTTAATCTATATTGGTTGTAGTCAGCGACATCTACTGTACGGCATAGATACGATTCGTACAAGACACGATGAGAGCAAGAGTATATATAATTAGGAAGTTTTAGGCAAACCGATTGTGGCCGTTGCTGATTATACCAGGTACGCACGCTCGCGTCGTGTCTCTTTCAGTGACATGAGATTAACTGTAAGAATCGTTATTAATCTTAGTTCATTATACTAAATAAACTAGTATATTAGTTAATCCGTTCTCTTTATTGTGTTTGCTACCTCGCCATACATTTATTTTAGTTAACAATACTTAATAATTTATGCACATTTTCTTACATACGTGTATACATATGAACATGTGTGTGATGACCGGGACGTGCAACACGTATATATGTATACAATATACATACGTATACTTTGCCTCTAGTATAGGTACAGTTGTTGTTTTTCTCTTCCTTTCTCTTTTCTCCATGCTCGTCGGTTTAGTTTAGCGTTTAGTCGTAGCGTAAAAACAAACATACTAACATACCTGTACTATATATATTTTTATATAATATAGTTATCACGGTGGGGCATTTCACACAACTTTCCACAGACCACCATTCACCCCAACAGACCACCATTCACCCCCCACCGCCCCCCACAAAATAAGGTAAAAATCTGTCATTTTCTCCCTTATTTTGACACAATTAAGTTTTTCCCATACCTCTACAGCCCTCCACGCACTTTTTCGTGACCCCCACCGCCCCCCACACTACTTTTGGGGAACCTAACAGGGATCATACCGTCTTTCTCGGACCTTGACGTGTATAGAGACGTGTACGTGTCGTATATGGATGAATTAATTATTTTTAATCTGCTTCGTTATTAAATTACTTTATAACAAAATTGTCTTATCACCATGATTTATCTCATCATCAAAAAGAAAGTTAAAGTCATAATTGATATATAGGGGTGTCGTTCCGCAAAGCGTCATTATTATTATATATTAAATTATAAACTTAACTGTTATAGTAGAGTTATAAATTCAGCTATTATCTATTATCTAGAGTTTTTAAAACAATTTTAAATAATGTACTGGTTTTTATATTTAAATTAGAATCAGTGCCAATAAACATCAAATGAGCAGCATTTCAATTTATTATTATCTCAATTATACTTCCGCAGTTTTCTGTAATCATCAGTATTCAAAAATGATTCAACCGTCGACAACATGGTTTAACGCCTTTAGCCAATGAGGTTTAAAAACGTGGTTGATCGATTGGTGTGGGTTAACTTATTTGTAGTCACTGTACAGTATTATTTTTAATTGTCTAAATATTTTACAGTTCACATAACTGGTCCAAGTGCAACAACCAATGTGGTATCTCCATTTCTTTGTAGATTCCTAAAACATAAAAGTTAACACTTGACTGTTAAAATTTTAGTTTTTACCAAAAATTCACAGTTGCAGGTTAAAAATTACAGTTTTAATTCCTTTGATGTACATACATAAAAGAATCACATGAAAGAAGTATGATTGTAATAAAAATTGACTGTATGATATAAAAATGAAAGTCCAATAATATATGTTAACGTACCCATGTTATTTTCTGCTGAGGGTTGTATCTTTTCGTGGATTACATATAATACAATTCTCCTGAAAAATTTAATGAGTGTTTATAATAATGTTTTTGAGTAATTAGGTCATATTTACATAAGTTCTTACATTACAATAAGAAAAGTTCATTGAACTTAAATAAAATTTGTTGAATAAATAGGAAAATAAAAAGCTTGGCTTAATTCGTCATAGCTTCCAAGTTGGCTTTTCTTGTTAAAAATATATGTTATAAATAAATGACGAATGATTATACAAAAAAAATTACTTATGTTATGTCGATACCGAAGTACCGAAAGTTGGCCTACGGTGGCAGCGAGAGGGTGCGAATTTTAAGTCCAAGGTTGGCTGCTGAAATAGTGGAGACCTAACCAAAAATAAAGCTTCTTTTGATGGTATACATACATACATAAGAGTAGACGAGCATGCATATACTACTGCAACTGAGACGAATAATTTGAGTCAACAGCGAAAAAAAAATAATAACAAAATACCGAATACATAAACACTTTTTGATTAAAAAAAAAGTAAATCTTTTTTTTTACTTTTAGGTGATAAAAAAAATACATGTTTTGATAAAGCTGCAAATACTGACTGTAAATGTTTTATAATTTTTTTTTTTTTATGAAAGTATCATTCCTTATTTAAGGATTTCGTAAGTTCAACAATCTCCTTATTAATTCTAGCTACCCTCCCTTCTTTCCCGTCTTTAGACTTTTTAAAAACTATTTTAAGAGCAGTCAGAAATAGTGTTTCGTCACACTTCAAGCCCGAGGCTGTTGCATATAAGTTTACAAAAGCATCCAAAAAATATGTACACGTAAAGATTTTTAAATACTAATAAGATAAAAACTATAAGCTATTTCAATTAAATATACCTATGTATTTTTTAGGCGATAAAAAATGTAGAGATGAATCTCTAGGACTTTGTTGCTCTGATTAAGTTATGAGATAAGAGAAAAAAAATTTTTTCCGCCCTCGGGTGGTTTTGAGAGGCTGGTACTTCCTCGGGCGAAAAAGCAGTTTTCCGGAACTCGTTCGAAAAGTCTCCTTTACGAACCTCGTT